CGTCAAGAGCGGACGCCAGAGCTTATCTACTATTACTCCCTGTTCGTCCCACCTCCCAGATGGGTCAGTTCAGCCTCCTTTTGTCTCAGCCTTTCCTTCAGCCCCTGTGCCACACCTCTGCCAGACAGCCTCTCGTTGCCCGACTGCCCCATCGGAGTGGTCAGCAAGCCCTTGTGATTTTCATCCCAGTTTTTCTTGAATCTGTCGCCTTCTCTTCCTCTCGTCTCCATACCCACCACCGTAGCCCCCACTGGCACCACTTCTCCCCTGCTCACCTGTAGTAGCCTCTTTGCAGACCTCCCTGCATTTGTTCCTGTGCCCTGTAACTCATTCTTCACATGGCAGCCCTGTGATTTTTTTCAAAAGGTAGCTCTGAGCAGGTCATTCCCCTGTATAAACATTTAAATGGCTTCCCCGGGCTCCTGGAATATAAGCCCAAATCCTTGCCTGTTCCCGCCACATGTTCCGTGCCCCACTCCATGGCTGGCCCCTGCTGACCTCATCAGCCATCTCTCTTAACACGTTCCATTGCATTTTGTCTCTGCTGGCCTTTTCTGTCTCTGGCTCTCCATGTGCTGCTCCCCCTGAGCGCACTCTCCCCCCTTTCCTTCCCTCTGGTTAACTCTACCTTTGTTGATTCCTGTTTCATCATTTATATCCCATGTCAAATGGTATTTCCCTGAGACCCCACCTCCATCTCCACCCCACAAAACCAGGTTTCTCCTCTCCTCCCCCCATAAATACTGTCCTTTCTCCCTGTCTTTTTCCTTCAGAGCACCACATGATTTGTTATTCTGTTTATGGATGATTTTGTTATTTCCCTGACCAGACCATAAAATGCTGTCTGCATTGACACTCTCTCATCCCCAACCCTATCCTAATGCTTGGCACAATGTCTTGATCTCAGGTGGCAGGTACAGTTGCAGCTCAGTTCATCTCTAGGCTAGGTCAGGCTACATCTTTGACGGGGGGATTCCTTTCACATTGGTGATGCTCCCATGAGATCTAGGCTTTACTGCTTAGACACATTTTTTTCCAGTTTCTTGGCCTTCAGATTGATGGGACTGGACTGTGGTATTACCTAGTTACAAAAATCTATGACTTCCATGGTCTTGAAGGTTGGAGGCTCCTTTTTTTTTTTTTTTTTAAGATTTTATTTATTTATTAGAGCACAGGGAGGAGGAGAGGGAGAAGCAGACTCTCTGCTGAGCGTGGAGCAGCGCAATGTGGGGCTCAATCCCAGGACCCCCAAGATCATGACCTGAGCCAAAGTCAGATGCTTAACCGACTGAGCCACCCAGGCACCCCCGGAGGCTCTTTCATTTGCTCAAACCAACTTCTAGTAAAGGTGCTAAATTTTCAGGACATACTCAGATGGCTTGTAGGAGGATGGATCTTTATATCCCACTAACACTTTTTCTTCATTTCTGCATGCCGTTTCTTAACATGTGGATCAGGAAGATAAGGACTGCTTAGAACACAATAAACATGGGAGTGGTGGTGGTTCTTTTCCCCCCTCAGATCTGCTGATTCACATTGAACAGTTTAGCACGTGCCTGGTCTCGTTCAGATCTGGCATCACCCCATGGTTCAGGCATGGTTTCCATTCCCATCCTAAATGTAAGGACGCTTAGCTCAGCAAGGTGAAGTCGTATGGTGCACCACAGGCAAGTGGTAGAGTAGGATTTGAACTTGGATTTTCTGACTCCTTATTTTCTATCACAGCAACCTCCTTCTGGTGGGAGAGATGCGATATACCCTTAGTCTTTTGGAGGAGCCAGGAAATGTTATTTCCCTCCTTTTTTTTTTTTTTTTTTGCGTATGGAAAGAAATTGGTCTTTTTATTGCTTCTAGAGAAAACTGTGTCCAGATGCAGTGCAGTAACCTACAGGCTGCCTTGCCCCAGGCAGACCTGTTAGTGCTTAAAATTATAATAAATATCACCTAAAATTATTCCGTGTGGAAACTACCTTTGCCTTTCTACCCTTTGCTTCTTAGCTGCCCTCCAGGAAGGCTTGACTCGGTCAGCATTTGGCTCAGAAGAAGAAACCATTGGAAGGCTTGCATCTCTCATGTTTGTCTGCACAACATCAGTAACCTGGTTTTCCATGAAAATGTTGTTAAGGAAGCCAGTTTGTGGGGGCTTTGTTATTTGCATAAAACTTAGATTTCTGACATTTGACTTAAAAAAAAAAACAAACCCAAACACTTAATTTATTTTTTAGAGAGAGGGCATGAATGGAGGGGAGGGGCAGAGGGAGAGAAAGAATCCTAAGCAAGCTCCACGCTCCACTTGGAGCCAGATGTGGGGCTCAATCTCACAACCCTGAGATCATGACCTGAGCTGAAATCAAAAGCCCAACGCTTAACTGACTGAGCCACCCAGGTGCCCCTAAGAAAAATACTTAACTATAAATAGTAAATCTTCTTCTTGTACTAGTATCGTGGTTTTACATGGTTTTCTATGATGAGGGGACCCATGGCATAAATGTAAGCATTTTTGGAGGACCCAGGTGCATTTTTAAAATAAATCTCTCTCTCTCTTTTTTTTCTTTTAAGTGGAGCCCAGTGTGGGGCTCAAACTCATGACTATGAGATCAAGACCTGAGCTGAGATTAAGAGTCGGACACTAAACTGACTGAGCCTCCCAGGTGCCCCAAAATAAATCTTTTTTTTTTAAAGCATTTTATGGACATCTGTTAAGTTGTAAATATTTAGCTTTATGATTACATTAAAGTTGGAAAATTTGCCCAGTCCTAAAATTGACTTTATTTTTTGTTTCATTTTTATGAAAATAATTATATGGAGACACTGTCTTTTTATTCCTCTCTTGCTTCTGCAAATCCCTGTCAGAAGGGAGTTTTTGCTGCAGCAGCAGAAGCTCCCTTAAACCTTTTGTGTAGAGGGTCTGCTGGGAAGAAAGAAATATCCTGAAGATTCTTGGTGGTACAATTCCAAGCGTACGAAGCCCCTTCCCGTTTGACTCCTACAGTGGATGGGTTGGATCGCTCTGAGAACATTCCTCTAATTGGAGCCATTTTGTCATTTTCCCTTCTGGGAAATACCTTGTGTTTACCTTTCTTACGGGTTTAGTAATGGAGCCGAGAGGCCCTGAGCACTGGGGCTGGAGCACAACTTCCTCCTTTTCCTCTGTCTTCCCCAGTATCTTACTCAGCAGCTCCGGCCCTGCTGTGACACCCTAGAATGTATCATTTTGAAATGTTGCAGCTGCCACTGAGTCACATGGGAGCACAGAGCTGGCTGGGGGAGAGGTGCAGATCAGTTATGGTTTTTTGTTCCCTCATAGATTCTTGAAGAGAAGTTAAAAGTGGCATTCTTATTTTCAGTTGGAAGATTTATATATTTTCCCTAAAAAATGAAAGAAAGAGAAGTGAATTAATTGTAGTTTAAGTAGAGGCTGTGATTTCTAAGTGTAGCTCCTCTGAGCTTTAGTGGCAAGAAGTAATAAGCCTCCTGGCAGGATGAAGGGGGCTGACTGGGGGTGTTAAATAATTTTAGGGTGAGGGTCAGCTTCCCCTTTCTGCTTGGCTCTCAGTCTTCATGCGATTAAGTTCTTTGACTTAAATTCAGTTTGGCAGGCCACCTTTAAAACAGGGCCCTTCATAAACTGCTTCGTGCATAATAACCCTTTATGACTCTTAATTGGGAGTAGCTGAGCAGTGGGTGATTTTTATATACCATATGTCCTATAGCACAACAGGGCAAGAGAAAGGGAAACATGGGTCTTGATACTGGAAATCTTGTCTCATCAAATCAAGCCTCTGCCTATGATGTTCTTTCTAACATAATTTTTCTTTTTTTTAAAGATTTTATTTATTTATTTGACAGAGAGAGATATAGCGAGAGCAGGAACACAAGCAGGGGGAGTGGGAGAGGGAGAAGCAGGCTTCCTGCCGAGCAGGGAGCCCGATGTGGGACTTGATCCCAGGACCCTGGGATCATGACCTGAGCCGAAGGCAGACGCTTAACGACTGAGCCACCCAGGCGCCCCCTAACATAATTTTTCTTACATAAATACTTCCTAGCCAGAAAAAAATAGATTTGACAATGTTTACATTTTGATCAGTATTTCTTATAGGAGTTGGTTAGAGGAGAAGCTTATAAATTTGTTTGTTTTGAAAATGAAATTCCCGTAGAAAGGTCACCGCAATGTCAGTCCCTGTCATTTCTAACCCTCTTATCTCAGAGCTTATCTGCAGCATGTCAGGCCTGGCCTACTGCTCTTAACCAAAAAAGGCAAAGAATGTGGAAGCCTTGCTCCCTTGCAGCCGGTTGTCTTAGTGCTCCATGATGGTCTGTGTTCGCACAGTGTCAGCTGGATTCGCAGGAAGCAGGGGGTGTTGGACATATTTTCTGTGGCAAGTTCAGAGAGTGTGAGGCAGGATTCCAGAGCTTTGCCAGGAGCATAAATCCTAGGCATTATCTTAGAACTGCACACTGGGCCTCACCCTCTACGTTTTAAACATTTCTTGGCAGTCAAATAAACCCAGGCAGTTTATCACAGGTGCCCACTTACCCCTCCGCTCGAGGATCCTGACTCAGAGGGTAGTAGCAGCAAGTCTGATGGAACCTTCACGTGTTTCACAGCTCCCTGCAGTCTCTCGTGGGAGAGGTAGGGTTTGCTGCTACAGTAGGTGCATGCAGCCGAATGGTAGCTCAGCCCCTCACCTCTGCCACCACCCTGGTACAAATTATGCATGAGCAGGAAAGGAAGAGCCACAGGACCACTTGGATTTGCCTTGTCTCCTCTTGCTAAAGATAGGTAGTGGGGGAACAGCAAGTATCTGAAGACAAGAGTACAGAAAGGAGCCACAGTGAATTGTGATCATTGAGAGGAAGAAAGAGAGAGGGAGAAGGCCGATGAGCAGGAGCACTGCAGCCTGTCAGCCTACTGATAGAAATTGTGCAGGTCCCAGTCTTGCGCATTCCTGTTCTAGGCAGGGTAGCGTGAGTATTAGAGTAAAGGCTTGGCCCTCTATTGCACACAAGTGTCCGGTATTTTAAACAAGGAGCATGTGACCACCTTGCCACATCATTTCTCTAGCTGAGTGGTACTTGATGTACTAAAGAGGCTGTGGGATGTAGTGTACTTAAATGAGTCAGAAGACTTTGAATGGGTCTCATCACGTTGATTTTAGTGATACCATGAAAAGAAGCTGAATTTCTGCTGAGGGCACGGTTTGTAACCTTATAGCAGCAGAGCTTGTGGACCAAACTTTTGTTAGAAGACAGACTGGTAGGTTGAGAAGAAAGATTCTTGGGTTTTCGTGGTCTGTCTCCTCTACCTTTCCAGAACCAAAGAGAAAAACTGTGGAAAGGCAGCTAGTGAGGAGGTGCCACCACCCAACCAGGGGAGCCTGGAAGCAGGAGAAGTGGAAGGCAAGTGAGAGCTGGAGTTGTGTTGGGGGGATAGTTCTGTTCGGATTCAGTCGTAATTTTTTTGTTCATCCATGGTGACGTTTATAGAGGACTTTATTTGGGAAAAGACAATCTATTAAAAAAAAGGGGGAGGGTGGGAGATCAGAGTTTGTTACTACCTGATCTATTTAGGGGACTAAAAAATTACTATTACTATTCAGTTTGATCTAATCAGAGCTTGCCATGAATTCTTAACCTTCTCATTTCTCCTCAAAGCATTAAGCTAAGTCATTCAGATGTCTCAGCTAAGCCAGCTGCGTGTTTTAACAGTTTTCAAGGCATCTCCACCTATATTTGGATATTCAGAGTCACCCTTGCTGATGCATTTAGACCTCTTGGCATGTTTTTTAAGGCAGTTTTAGGTACACAGCAAAATAAGAGGAAGGTACAGAGATTTCCCATATACCCCTTGCTCCCCCACTGCCAACTTCCCCCACCAGTGTGATGCATTTGTTAACCATTGATGAACCTACATTGACACGTCCTAATCACCCAGTGTCCATACTGTAGGGCTCACTCTTGGTGTTGTACATTCTGTGGGTTTGGACAAATGTATGATGGCATGTGTCCATCATTATAGTATTTTCACTACCCTAAAAATTCTCTGTTCTCTGCCTATTCATCCCTGCAACCCCTGTCTCCATAGTTTTGCCCTCTCCATAATGTCATATAGTTGGGCTCATACAATATGTGGCCTTCTCAGATTAGCTTCTTTCACTTAGTACTAGGCATTTAACATTTCTCCATGTCTTTTCATGACTTGATAGACCCCTCCCTTTTAATGCTGCATAATTGTTGTTTGGATGTACCAAAGTTTATTAATCCATTCACCTACTAAAGGGCTTCTTGGTTGCTTCCAAGTTTTGGCAGTTATGAATAATGTTGCTATAAACATTTAAGTGTAGGTTTTGGTGTGGCATAAGTTTTTAACTCCTTTGGATAAACACCAGTGAGCATGATTGCTGGATCCTATGGTAGGAGAATGTTTAGTTTTGTAAGAAACCACCAAACTGGGTGCCTGGGTGGCTCAGTTGGTTAAGCAACTGCCTTCAGCTCAGGTCATGATCCCAGGGTCCTGGGATCAAGTCCCGCATCGGGCTCCCTGCTCTGCAGGGAGCCTGCTTCTCCCTCTCCCACT